TCACTCAGATCCAAGTCATTGTGTGGAAATGAATTACTGACAGGGTCATGTATGAATGTGCCAGAATGGAGTTTGTCTTCACATAAAAAAATAAAATACATTTTAAAAATACAAAAAATTAAATAAAGCATAAATTCATTACTTGAAATAAAAAAACATAATAAAATGACTAAAACGCACAACAAATTTTAACTAAAAATGTAACAAAATTATTTAAGCTATTTCAACATTTCTCATTTCGTTTAGTTAAAGTGCTATAGTAACAACTAAAGCTTAACGAAAACAAAAAAATTATAAAAACGCACAACAAAATCTCTAAAACTTTAACTGAAATTTTAAAATAAAATATTAACTCTAAAGGTCTTTGCACACTGAGTCTGAAATTTTCGTATGCGTTTTTTCGTATTCGTCGTCACGCACAGAAACCAGAGGTGGACGAAGTCAAATATTACTCCATTACAAGTGAAAGTTGTAAAGAGAGAATTTTACTTAAGTAAAAGTACAGAGGTACTTGCTTTTAAAAGTACTTAAGTGCCAAAAGCAAGTGTCTTTTTTTGTCAATGCTCTGTTTTATTATTATTGTGTGTAATACTTGCAATAACTTATGCCTCTGAAGCAACTTAAAATACATTACGCTTACTGAATACATATATAATATTATTTTGTTAGGAGACGCACATAATTTCATTTACATAATTTAGCAAAATAAGACAATATTGTGTCTAATATGTACCACAATTTTAACTACTTATTATTGAATTGATATAAATAAATATCACGTTTGCAACTGGTCAGTGTTCACAAAAATGCTGGGAAATTTACTTTACGTAGCCCTACAATAGTGATTACTGATAGACACGTTTTACAGAAGAAAAAAAATCACCCGCTGGCTTTCAAAGCTGCTACAGTAACGACTTTCTACTTTGAGGACATTGATAGAAATGTCGTGGAGTGAAAAGTATGTGAAGTAAGTGAAGTTAAGGTCATAAGTTTCCAGAAAAAATAATACTTAAGTACAGATACTCAAAAAGTGTACTTAAGTACAGTAATGAAATATAT